ACCCACCGAGCATCCACGTGGGCCACAGCGCATCCCGCCGGCCAGCCATCCCGCCCATGCCAGCTGTCGACGTCCCCGGAAAGGTCACTTCGCCACGCTCACGAGCCCACCGACTAGGGGCGTGCCTGCCTTGGCCAAGGTTGAGCCCGCCAGTCGGGGCCACGCTGGCCAAGGTTGAAGCTACTAGACAGGGCCGCGCCCGCTGGTCGATACCATGCTCCACTGGCCGGGGCTAAGTTTCCATGGTCGCGCCCGCTGGCCAGGGCCGGGGCTGCTGTGGCCGCGCCCGCCCACCTCCGAGTACGTCGGCCATGAGCAAACTATGCCCGTCCGCGCGAGGATACTAGTAGCGAGCTCCATCTCCTCTGTCCCGCTGTGCTGCACAGTAGGGAGAAGAAAGAGATGGAGAGCTATGACGCATGGAGCCCTAGTGGCGGTGAGATAGAGAGGGAGGTGGAGCTGTACAAATGCTTTGGTGAATATCAGATCCACGGGGGATCTAGGTGAATCCTCAATCCATATTCACTTTTTTGAGTGGTGGAGCGCTACCAAATAGGCCCTAAATCTATGTTTTTGTGGATCTGGATTTCATGGGGCTGTGCTGTTTACCAAAAAATTTGTAGAGTGAGGCTATTTTTTGCATATCTGAAAGTGATCGAGCTCTTCTAGGGCCTAGATATGGATGTCACGTGGGATTCATGCATTAACTCTCATAATCTTATATTGCTAGCTAATTTCGTACTTACCCCTATTTTTTATAAACCTTTGACTTTTTTTATAGAATCAATCTTTGACTTAGCTTTAAAGTTTTGCACATTATACGTAGGATAGTCCTCGATAGGAAGAATGAAGCTTGCACGTGATCGTACCATCAAATAGTAAATATCATTCCAACAATGATCGTGAATTGATATGCCAAGGATGAAATAGTTGATGATCACCGCTTTCACACTCAATTTCAACTTGAGTATTACAACTCTATGTTTGTTGACAAAAGCAACAAGATTTTTAGGCACAGATACATTGATTGGGATCGTTGCTTGTCTATAAATGATGAACCTCTCTCTCAAGCCTTAAATTTGTTAGTTGCCAAGGGTTGTAATAAGCACATCATGTGCCTTAGATATAATTGGTCGGATGAAGTTATAGCACAATTTTATGCCACCCTTTGGATTTGTGGTGATGCAAACAACACCCATCTAGGCCAAGCAATTAACTTTTCTATTGAGGGTGTGGATTATCCATGCTCATATGCTACGTTTGCCACAATTCTTGGGTTCACTTGTGCTGACTATGACAATGATGAGAAAATGGTCCTTTCTACATACAAAGCGCCTACCAATGAGGACACAGCTCACATGTATGTCGCTGATGCAGAACTTGACAACATTGGCAAGGCTAACAACATGAAGCCATTTTTTCAGTATCTCAATCTTTTGGTTCGCAACTTTGTGTATTTGATTTGATTTTGGATTGGAATATTGCAATGCAGCTGCAATCATCAAAAGAACATCGCTCATGCACCATATATTATGAAGATGATTGAGCATGTCACTAAGACTGAGTATGTCACCGATGTGGTACATGGTCCGTATTTTCCCATCAAGATTGATTTAGAAGCTAAGTCAAAGCGCAATCATTCTCGTGGCACTTCTCAGGGGATCCATGGTTCACCTCATGCTCCTCCTACTGCTTCTCCATCTCCAGACTACCTTTTCTTAGCCCCGTGAGCGGCGCAGCTTGATTGTGAGGATGTTGAAGTCACTGCTTGGTGCGTGTGCAAACTTCGTAGAACGACAATATCAGTTTGAGTTGCACATGACTGAACACATAAGGAGGATTGACAGTCGGACTCGGCAGCTTTGTGACCAAGCACATATTCCAGTTTCTTCACTTCGTGAGGATGCGTTTGTGGTGCCTCCTGGATCCCTCCACTTGCCACTTTGACTACTCTCAGTTTCCTGAGGAGGATGCATATGAGGGAGCAATGCGGACCAGCGCGCTCAGCCTTGGGATCAGTGGGAGCCAGCCCCACAATACAGTCAGCCACTACAACAACTTGCCTTTCCTCCGTCCGCTTCTTAGTCTCTTAGACTCAGTGAGACCAGCAGCAGTACACAGAGCAGCCCTGCACACAGCAACAGCAGTAGTCTAGTGGGCAACAGTGACAATGGTAGCACACAGGCTTTCAGACTCCCTAGCCCGCTCGTCCTTCAGGCACTGACTTTGCAGAGTATCTTTTCCGTGGTGTTGGTGATGTCCCGTCTTCTTCAGTTGGTTTCTCCACCATCTTCACTGATCTTCGTGACTTCCATATGGATTGAGATTTGTCTTGTTTCTTCCCTTTTTGGCGCTTGATGACAAGGGGGAGAAGATCTTAGTGCATTCATGTCCATTCATTATCTATCTTTATCTATTATGCTGTATCATTTGTGGACCTCTTTATCTCTCATGTGATGTTGGTGATGGACTTTATCTATGTGGTGCTATGTTTGGACCTTAATCTCGTGGCAAGACATTTATGTATGGGCTATGTAAGACTTTGTGATGAACAATGATTGTAAGCTAGTTGTAGAACTTCATTTATGCAAGACCATATTGTTGCTAGCTTGTGTCGGCTTATATCTTTGTGATGATGTATTGTTTCTTTTTGTTTATTGGGTGATATATATTTGTCATATATGCATCATAGTTTTATTGCCTCACACATTGTTGCACCCCACAAATTCATATACATAGGGGGAGCCCACACATTTCCTGTGCAAATGTGGCATTTCGTGGCCTTGAAAGAATTCAATTCTATATGCACAGATTTAGGGGGAGCAAATTCTATGATTATGAATTGAAATGTGTTTCAATTATAATATTTTTGTAAGCTTCGATTTGGTTGACATTAATCATCAAAAAGGGAGAGATTGAAAGTGCATTAGCCCTCATTGTGGGTTTTGGTGGATTAATGACAAGCAATCAAAGATCTAATTTGTTATCAAGTGTTTGAGCAGGTTTAATCTAAGTCAAAATGGCGCATTTAAGGAATAACGACCCTCCAGTTTTATTCAAAGATGAGTTGTGGCATATGGAGCATCAAAGTGCTTTACATTCTTTATCTTTCGCATTTGAGTATAGGAAAATGCCACACTATAAAGAGAGATTCAAAGTATTGATCTTGCAGGTGTCTCAATGCTCAAAAAGTGGCCAACTAACCCCTTTATTTACCCAAACATCCCTGCGAAAAAGGTTTAAGCAAAAACTATTTTTTAATTGACCCTAGCTTAAAGCTCCTACCAGAGCTCCAGTTCTGCAAACCGGAGCTCTGGGATTTACTCTAAAATTATTTATTCTAAACCTGAGCACCTCCACTAGAGGTCTGGTTCTCCAAACCGGAGCTCTGGTTCTAAGCAGACTAACTTGCTCCAGATTCATTTTTGGAGCTACAGTTCCCAACGGAGGTCCGATTTTTGGCGTTTCAGCACTCCAACGGCTGAGAGGGGTCGTATTTAAACTCCCTCTCTCTCTCCGGCCATACCTCTTCACCTACCTTGAGCCAAAACGCCCGTGCGCCATTACTCTCCATTCCTCCTCTCTCTCTCTCTCTCACACACACACACACCTTGCTTTGACTTGAGAGCTTGTTCTAAGTGTGGATTTGAGAGGAGACTTGCTTCACAGTTGAGATTTGAGCCCGTAAACTTCACGTCGATTCTCTCGAACATTTGAGACTTCTACAAGGCCTGCTTTGAGTTTATTACTCTTGGGTTCTTAAATCCTAGATGGCAAGGAGTTGTCCGAGAGCTCCCAACCTGTGGATCCGCCTCAATAAGTTTGTATTACCCATTTGTTCTTAGTGGATTTCTCAAGTGAACTTCGTGATCACTTTGAGAGAGGCAAGGAGGTGGAATAGACTTCGACTTTTATGGTCACCTCAACAACAGGGACATAGACATTCCTGTGGTTTGGCCGAACCTCAGATTAAATCGTGTCTCTTGTGATCTGCTTGTTCTCGTTGTTTTGTGCTATTTATTGTGAAATACTTGCTGGTATATTTGAGTGCAGGAATCATTGGAACACAACTCTATCTTCACTCTACAAGTGGTGGTAACGAATTGTATCTCATTTAGATTGTAGATCTTGTAGTTTGAGTAGGGGTTCCGCTTAGATTAGACATCTGGTTTTCATTGGATATCCGGTGTCAAAATCCGTCCGTACTAATTTCCTTTTGGATTACGTCTAATCATTGGATCCTTTCACCCTTCCCTCTTTTCCTAGGAATGATGGACCCTTGCTTTCCTATCCTCCAGCATGTTTCTACTGTCCCCTCTCAGCCGAAGGCCCGGCTCACGGCCCAAATCTCCCCCAGGGCACGTCCGCACCAGAGATCGGCGTCTCCTCTCGACCTCCCCGGCTCTCCCGCACCCCGCACGCTCTCGCTCGCTGCCTCGACCTCGAGGGAGTTAGGGCGTAGCGCCGCAGGCTACAGCGGCAGCCGCCAGACGCGAAGTCGTGGAGACTCCCAGCACAGGACGGTCTGAGGCTCCGAGCGGCCAGCCGGCGAGTAGGGAGCAGCGCAGGTCCGCCCATCCGCAGGTCGCCCGGCAGGGGGCCTTTCTCTTCTTCTGGATTGAAATTTGTAAGTTCAAACCCAGTCAATTGGCTTCCCAATTTCCCATTCAATACATTACAGACAACAATTTTGTGAATCACTTGCAAATCAAATTGTATTGAGGGAGAATGAGTCAGTCCGCAAATTGATTTACTATTCCATGAATTTATGAAATCATGCTCAATTTATATATTTGCTATATGTTATACAATAGAACTATGCAGTGTTATACATGCCAGGCTTTAGGATTTTATTAGGTTGCCAAAAAAAATTTGACACCGTTTCATATTTTCAATACCCAAGGCCAAAATCCTAGGCCCGCCATTGTTGGTAGATGACACCTCCGTCGCCATCCCCAACTTCAGTTAGGGTTTTGACTCGTTCGTGGCCAGCCCTGAAGATGTCGTGGACCCTGGTGCAGCCGGTGGGGCAGAAGCGCCTCACCAACGTGGCAGTGGTGCGGCTGCGCAAGCACGTCCAGCGCTTCGAGATCGCGTGCTTCCCTAACAAGGTGCTCTCCTGGCGCTCCCGCGTCGAGAAGGACATCGACGCGAGGTGCTCCAATCCCACACCGTCTACTCCAACGTCTCCAATGGCGTCCTCGCCAAGTCCAAGGACCTCATTAAGGCCTTCGGCACCGATGACCAGACCCAAATCTGCATCGAGGTACCTTTCGAATCCCCTCTACAATCCAATGTAGTCCCCCAGGCTCCCTCCCTGTGACCACGTCTTGCTGCTTCTTCATATTCTGGAGAAATGGGAGCTCCAGGTCTCCGGCAAGGAGAGGGAGGCGCAGCTTTCTAGCCAGTTCCGTGATATCGCCACCATCGTCATGGAGAAGACCATCAACCCGGAGACCCGCTGCCCCTACACCATCACCATGATTGAGCGCCTCATGCACGAGATACATTTTGCTGCCGACCCAAATCTTACCTCCAAGGAACAGGTACCTAGATATCATCTGGTTGGATGGAATTATTAATTCAGCAATTTTGCTAATAGGTAGGGGTAGGGCTACCGATTGGGTTTGAGTTTTGTTATACAACACTGAATTTATCATCATGTAGGGGTGGTTTTTATTTTTACAACACTGAATTCATCATCATATATACCTTAGCCTGTTGCTCTTTATCTATGTGTGTTTCAATAGCTGGCCAGTTTTTCTTTTCTATACTAGATTAAAACAAGAACAATGATGTGATTACTCATGAATTAATTTCTCGTTTCTCTTCCTGTAGAGTTGCAATTGCAACTTAACACCATTAACCTAACCTTGATATGTCCTGGTTTCTGGTGACACTATTTTCTGGAGATACTGATGTTTCATGATAACAGCGGTAGCAGTTTGTGTATCAGAATTCTATAGAGAATTTTCTGTTCAGTGTTTGTGCCTGACAATTGGCTGTATGCAAAAAGGTAGGTGCCTTCTTATTTCTGATGGATTTGGTAACGCTGCAATATTGCTAATAGGATGGGCGAATGATTGAGTTTTGGGTTTAAGTTTTACAACACTGAATTCATCGTATATAGCATAACCAAAGATAGCATAGCTAAAGTTTGCATGGCCATTGACTGTGTATCAGATACACCTTGATTCTGAATTTGTATACTTCAATGAATGATTATGGGCGATATTTTGTATAGCGTAGTACTTAGAAGCTTGTCAATATTACCTGCTCTCTGGACATGATGATAGACACAGAGCTACTTGACCATGTGAAATTCCTTTGTCGACCACTCTTACATGCTTTTTTTTATCGGTGTTCTCTTTGGTCTTGCAGGCTCTAAAGGTTATCAAGAAGCTCATAGAACACTTCCCCATAAAGCGTGCACCACTGAGGGTGCGGTTCACTGCACCAAAGCTCAATTTTACTGGCCTGATGGAAAAGATTGCTGAATGGAATGCTACTGTGATTTCAAAGGACGAATCTGGTACTCAGCCTTCTATTGTAAAGGGCGTACCTAGTGCAGAGAGCTCCCGCTCTGTGCGGGGTCTGGGAAAGGGTGTTAGTGGCAAGCCTTACCCTCACCTGTGCAATACGAGGAGACCGCGACTCGAACCCGGGACCTTCCGGTCACAGGCGGTAAGACTCTACCGCTTGCACCAGGCTCGCCCTTCACTCAGCCTTCTATTGTAAGTCTTTTAATTCTTTTTTTTGTTTTCTGGTCATTCGTGTGTCACGTGATTCTGATATCGGCTAGTAGTTATTTGTCTCACATGATTAACAGCCGCCTAGAAGCTTGGTCCTTGTTACCTATAGTTGATGTTTAAAAAATCGCAACGCTCCAGTTGGCCCATGGGAGGTGCCTAGCGCCTGATCCCCAATTAGAAAGAATCGGTGGAGATTATGCGCCTACAAAGTGTGCTGGTTTTAGTGTTTTTTTCCTTTTTTTCGCGTTGCTGATGGGATCAATTGCTGAAACCAAAATGCCTCTCTATGCTGAACCTTATTATCAGTAGTTTACTACATTTAACTGTGGATTTGGATACTTTTTTACAGGTATGTGAGATTGAGCCATCTATTCTGCACTCATGTGAGGAGCGGCTGAAGGATGTGCAAGGGAGGGTGGAAGTGCTGTCTGTCTCAGCGCATGCAGAGGGTGGTCCATCCGTGGAGCAATATGACAGTGTTGAAATGCCACAAGCAGCTCCTGCAAAGGAGCCCGATGCTGTTGCTCAGATAAGTGAGAATGCAGAAACAGAGCATTTCTACTGAAAGCCAGGGCAGTGCACAAGGCAAGCAACAGAGAAGGTGCAGGGAGTGTGATGTGCTCGTGGAGGACAAGCTATACAGAGAGCACTGCAAGAGTGGGTGGCACAAGCACACCTAGGCGCGCCACAAGAACGGGCTCCCCCCTCTGAGCCAAGAGGAGTGCATGGTGGAGACGGAATTGGCCGACTCCAAGAAGGACCTTAAAGACTACGATTTCTGATGAGGTTAGTTGGAAGTTCCTTTCACATGTGATCTTGTGTTTGGGTACCGATGCTGTCTGTCTAATGCTTCCTATGACCCATCTTATCCAGGATGATTAACAAGGGGTGTACAGGGCATGGAGTTGTTGCCAGTTTTTTTTTTTTTTTTTTTTTTAAGTGAGGAGCGAGAGCACATGGTCGTTTTCTGATCTCATGCTGTATAGTTGAGCAGTGAACCTAGTTTTGTGAGATGTGAGGAATTGTTAGGATGAATGGTTTAGCCACATCGTTGAACTGCAAATAAGTCTGGGAGTACAACCTGGCTGTCTGGATGGCTTTGTATAGTAGCCGAATGAACTTGGTAGTGGCACTTGGCTGCTCGTTGGGCGTTGGCTGTTCTGTAACGGCACCCTATGCGGGCTAGAAAGTAGAAACTTTATGATGGACCAAGTTATTTAATAGTACGACTTATATGACTTATCTGTATCCTTTCTGGTTGTTTGGTTTCTGGTAGCCTCGCCTTTTGTTGTTGCTACACCTGATGGTAAGTTCATTTGAGATGGCGAAGCTGACATGAGCCGGCTTGGTAGCAGTTTTATATTGGGAGAAGAAAACTTGTGGCATGGTTTTTCTGTTTGGGATTGCGAAAGGAAATTTACATTTGCTTGGAGACGGCTAAATGCATGGCGTTGCTGCTGACCAAAAAATAGTTCCATGCACCCTAAGGTCTTGTTTGGATGTATGTGTATCCACCTCAATCCGTAAGTGGAATGGTATGAAATTTAGTTTTAATTTTACTCCAATTCACTTTAACACACGTGGATTGCGATAAATACATGACAAGGCCTAATATGACTGCCTAATTAAAAGAAAGATACACAGCCATGCAAAGTGTTGAATTTATATATTCATTGAATATGAATCGATAACGGTAAATCAAACTGTGTCCATGAGGCTGTGTTCGCTTCTGCTTCTGGCAGCTTCAGCTACATAATACATTACCAGCTAGAGATGCTGCAGCCGCTGCAGCTTCGAACGGGCCCAAAAGGCATCCATAGAAAATTAGAAGAATAATAAGCAAATAACAAAAGGAGAACTCTGATTAGAAGTTTTTACATTGATAAAAAAAAGTGTTATTTGGCGGAGCAACCCATCTGTTTAAAAGAAAATATAGAAATTTGACGCACGTGTATCTTTTCTTATTGGGCTAATGCTCATGCTATGCCTATTGTAAACACTTGGTAATGTGATGATACGACTGGCACACTAACGCAAGAGAGAAGAAGGTCGTCATCCGAGCCAAGAAGTCCAACTGGCAGTGTCCGCAATTCCGCATCATCAGAGAGGAGAAGGGGGACACATGGCCAGAAGTCCGTTGCTGCCAGGTAGGCCCGGGATAGGAGTGAGTGTGAGGTGAAATTTTTGCATTTTGGTCCCTTTTAAAAATATTTTTTACAAAAAGACCTATGCCAAAACGTTTGCCGAAAATAGACCAATTTTTAGGCGTCTTAGAACATGACGCCAATGTATGAGGGTCGGCGTCAACTGACACGACGCCGAGGTCTTGCCACGTCATGGACGACCCCGGTCGACGGCAACACGGTGGCGCATGGGGTCCGACACGTCGGCGTTGTGTCAGCCAACGCCACAGGCCCAACCTCGGCGCGGTGGGACTACACGCCGAGCTATTGGCACCATCCGGCGCGTGGCCCAGGCGGCCCAACAACGCTTCGTGGCCCAACAGCTCGGCGCGGGGTCACTTAACGCCGAGCCACCAGACTCGGCGTGGCCCGACTCAACACCGAGGTCTGGACTCTTAAGCCGCGCCGCGGCCCCCTTCTTCTTCCTCCCTCCATTCTGAAAGCGCCGGCTCTCTGTTCGTCTCCCCCCACGGCCCCCACGAAACCCTAACCCCCAAATGCGACCCTAGGTGCCCGAATCTCGTATCCCGAAGCTTCCTTTAGGTAATGGTCCCTCCCCTCCTCTAATCTATCCGCGTAGATATGCTTGCATTGTCTCTAATCATGTGGAATCATGGGTGTATGGTGTTTTGGTATATGTGTATTTGCATTTGCAAAATGTATGGCTTAGGTTGATTGAGTGCATTGTTGTTTAACTGCTTTATGTGCTGAACATGTTAGGTTAGTTTGGTTTCTAGTTATTTTGGTTATTAGGGTTCTTTGTTTATTGTAGGTGTCATTAGGGTTAGTTATTTGTTGGTCATTAGGGTTAGTATGTATTTTAGTTATTTGTTGGTCATTAGATTTTAATTTTTTATGACTAGAAATGATTATGTTGTTGGGGTTGAAAAAAGATAAAATGATATATTTTAGTTTCTACTTATTGGATTGAAACTCGCATGATATATTGATATGTGACACTACTTGTTGTGTGATGGCTGTAGATGGATAAATTAGTGAGATTGCATCATGGAGGCCGTATTGTTAGGACAAGAGATGATAGTTTGAAATTTCTGGATATGTGTGAGGCGTTGTTGATTTTTTCTGAAACACCATCTATGACTCAGTTAGTGGAGCGAGTGAAGGTTAAGTTAGGCTGGAATGAAGGAGACGTGCATGTTCAGTTTGAAGGTGTCATCGATGTTGGGTCGTCGAAGGGTCCTCGGATCAAGCGGTTGCTCAAAATTACAAGCGAGTCTGAATGAAATGATTACAAGGCAGTTGTATTGGTCTCAGAAGTGCGATCTTTGGATTTAGTAGTAAGGAGTCCGGCTTAGGAAATGATAACTTCGAAGCATGCCCATCTTCCCCCGCTCACATAGGTTATGGTCCTTTGTCTGAAGAAGAAATACTTATCACACAACTAGGCTACAGTGGTGGTGAAGTGTTTGGATCGCTCGAGCGTGATGGAGGTTGGTTTGAGGGCGGTGGAGATGAGGAGGAGAATGCGGTTGCCGATGGTGAGGGCAATCATGATAGTTTGGACGACACTAGCGGAGACTTTTCTATTGAGGATGAGCTTAGCGACGAAGATGATCTTAGTGGTGAAGAAGACTTTGGTGATGTTAGGGCTATGAACTGTTTTGACATAGAGATAGCTGGAGATGATGAATCCTTCGTAGAGGAGATAGCCGAAGACTCTGATGACGATCGCCCTGTTGGTCGTCTCAATTTTAGGGAAATAGAGATATTGTCTAGGGTCTTGCCTTGGAGAGATCCACTAGTTGGTGATTTCGAGGACCTTAGCCATGGTCACAGGGCAGTAGCTAATGGTGGGCCAAGTGATACAACAGTGCCTGATGTTAGCGGTTGCCTCATCATACGGAAGGGCATATTGTTTGCTACCATGGATGAGTTGAAAACATGGTTGCAAGAGTACTCCATTGTACACAACCGACCTTTTAGGGTCATCAATTCATTCAAGGAGAAGAGGTACACTATTGCTTGTGAAGAACAACAGTGTGGTTGGAGAGTATGTGCTAGGAAGACGAAGGCAGGCAAATGGAAGATTACCTCAATGAAGCAACCACATGTTTGTCCCACTGCTGAGGCAGAAGAGAACCATCTGTAGCTCAATTCTAGGTTCATTGCAAGGCAGTTATGCCCTGTGGTGAAGCATATGCCAACCATTACGGTGTCCGCGTTGGTTGAGATCATCTTCCAACGGTACAATTACTATGTCAAGTATGGAAAAGCATGGAGGGCAAAGCAGCGTGCACTGGAAATAATATTTGGAAATTGGGAAGAAGCTTATGAGCGCCTCCCTGTAATGTTGAATGCAATGAGGGCTGTAAATCTTGGGATGCACTTCAAGTATTTACCTAAGGAGGGTGAAACAAGGAATGGTAGCCAGGTATTTGGAAGGGCCTTTTGGGCGTTCGGGTAGAGCATCGAAGCATTCAAGCATTGTAGGCCTGTCGTCTCAATTGACGGGACCTTTCTTACAGGGAAATTTGAAGGCACAATGCTTGTTTGTATTGGGACAGATGCAGAAGACCAGCTTGTGCCATTGGCCTTTGCGATTGTTCGGAAGGAGGACACGGATAGTTGGTGTTGGTTTCTCAGGCTAGTTAGACAAGTGGTAATTGGTCTGGGACGTGATGTTTGTGTGATATCCGATAGGCATGCTGGCATTCTGAATGCCGTAGAACAAGAGATTCCTGGTTACGGCCAAATACATCACCGGTGGTGCACCAGACACCTTGCTCAGAATCTTATAAGGCGTGATCACACAAAGGACAACTTCAAATTATTTGAGGAGGTTTGCAGGCAGCAAGAGGTTCAATTATTCAAAGACAAGCTAGATGCCCTGAAGTTAGCCACAAATGTTGATGGTAGGCAATTCTTGAGCGAGTTGCTGGCGTCGAAGGATAAGTGGTCACTTGCATATGACACCGGAGGTTGGAGATGAGGCTTCATGACTAGTAACATGGCAGAGATGTTCAATAGCCTTCTAAGAGGTTGTCGTGGTCTGCCTATGACTGCTATTGCCTCATTCACCTTCTACAAGTTGAATGCTTGGTTCATTTCGAGAAAGAAGCATGCGAGGTCTCTATGGACAGCAGGCAAAGCTTGGCCACTTTTAGCATCTCAGGAACTAGCTTTCTCAAAGAAAAAGTCTAAACGATAGAAGGGTTCATGTTTCGATCCGATCAACCATGGATATGAGATTCTAGAGGGTGGTGGAACTAACATTGGTGGTGAAGACCGGGATGCTCGAAAACATAAAGTAGTGATCAATGAGAACAAGTGTATGTGTGGAAAACCGACCATATACCATAGGCCTTGCTCCCACATGATTACAGCCTGTCGCCTTAGACGTGTTGACGCTGAGGTCCCTCCC